CTTCCCTTCTTCCTTCTTTCTTCCCTATCTCCCTTCCTTTCCCTTCCCCTATGATTTTTTCCCCTTTGTTCTGTTTAATTAAAGGCAACAGTAATAATAATTTTTTTTTCATCTATTTATAAGAGGAAAGCATTTTACCTTGGCAAAAAAAGCACAATATCTTTTAAGCATCAGTAGAAACATGGTGATCCCAACAGAGGGACAACCATCTCTTTGATATTAATTATTATTCTTAATATTAGATTTTTATCCCCCCTTTTTTAATATATATTTTTGGTCAACTCAAGGCAGCAAACTACCTATTCCTCCTTCCTCCTCCTCTTTTCCCCAGAACAACAGCCCTGTGAGGTGGGCTGGGCTGAGAGAGGGGGACTGGCCCAAAGTCACCCGGCCGGCTTTCGTGCCTAAGGCGGGACTAGAACTCACAGCCTCCTGCTTTCTAGCCTGGCGCCTTCACCACCAGACCAGCCTGGCTCTCGCTTCCCACAGCACAAGCGCTGGAGGGGCTTCCTACCCACCCCCCACCCCGCCCCCCCAGCACCTCAGCCTACTTTCCAAAGGTAGCAACCCATTTGATTCCAAGGCAGAAGCTTTAGGGAGGTGCAGCTCCATTTGAGGTTGTCTTCCAGCGGGGAGCCGAGCCCTGGGTGCCGGCCCCCCCGAATGTTTGCTTCCCGTGAACATCGGGGCCTCGGCAGCTGGCGCCGGGCTTTTCAACAGACCGGAGGCAGTTGGCAAAGAACTGCGAAATGGGTCTCTCTGAAAGTGTGAAGTCCAAGGAACATCTGGGCACAATCTGAGCACTCCTCACCAAGCAGCTGAACTCATCAGGCGGGAGAGAGAAGCCGCCGCTGTGCTTCGAGGGCCGAATGCTTCTTTCCTCTACATCGGGGTTCCTCAACCTCGGCAACTTTAAGATGGGTGGACTTCAACTCCCAGAATTCCCCAGCCAGCCATGCTGGCTGGGGAATTCTGGGAGTTGAAGTCCACCCATCTTAAAGTTGCCGAGGTTGAGGAACCCTGTTCTACACGATGACTGATTTAAAGATCTGGAGCTCACCCGATGGGTACAGTGACCATACGTCCTTTATCAGAAAGGACAGTCCTTTTTTCCAGAAAGCCGTCCTTTAGATGTATTTTTCAAAAACTCCCTTTGTCCTCCATTTTGGTCATTTTGCTTTTACCGTCCAAACGGTACCGCTGAATGCACGTTCACGTGAAAAACATGGAAACTGAATGGTCTTTTTATCATACATGTATATATACTGTTGGATTTTGGTTATTTCGATTCCAAGAGGCATTTTGGTCAAGCTTTTTCTTGATTCTGCTCTTGACTTTTCCTTTGTAAAGCAAAGCTACAACAATTCAATTTCTTTTATCCACGTGAACCTTTTTCAGATTTGCCCCCTTTTCAGGTTTGTCCTTTATTTTTTCCAAATATGGTCACCGTACCTATGGATAATGAAGTCCTCCAAAGCAACCCCCTTGGAAGAAAGGGGCCTGTTTCTCTTTCAGGACAAGGGGGTGTTTCACAAGTATCACGACTAATCCGCTTTTTCCTCATTTGTGCCTTTCAGTGCTACGGGCAGCAACAGGAGGTGGGGTGGGGGAGTCCTCCTGTATCAGGGGGACAATCTTTTGCCCCTGGTAGGCCTCTGGAAAAACATGGAAAGCTACTGATAACAAGGCAGATTAAAATAGGATATCGGCTGGAGCCGTCTGCCAGGGGAACCGACTGCCACCCGCTGTGGGAAGTTCGCCTTTCCTGCAAGTCTCCTGGCTGACCGTCAGAGATCCTGAACTGAGCTGGGGTTGGACTACATGACCTCTAAGATCCCTTCTGACCCTTTGATTCTACAAGGCAATTGTGAGCTGGCTGCCCCCAACTGTCCCCCCACTGCAAATTGCTGTCACTTCCGCCACAGGAACCCCAACCTATCTGCAACGAACACCAGTTCCCATCCCGATTCCCTGTTCGGCCCCCTTCCCAGACCTGCAGCTTCAGACGTACCCCCAAAATTGTCCTTTGAATCCTCTCTGGACTTTGGGAACTGGGCTCTCCCTGCACGGGGCTTCTCCCCGCCTTCGATCTGCACGAGGATGCTGGGAGGCTGGAGAGCGAGACCTGGGGGCCGAGAGAGAGACGGAGGTGAGGACTCCCCCCTTCGCTGCCCTCCTTGGGGGGGCACCCACAGCAGGGGCTGCAAGGGAGCTCCTCCCGCCAGAGAGGCAGCCGGTCACCCCACCACCCCAAAGGGCCAAGCGATGCAAGACGCTTCTCTCCAAAAGCCGTCTCCGACGGCTGCTCTCTCCACCAGAACTTTGCATATGCACAAGGGCGCCAAGCCACCACCAGCCCCAGGGGGGTCTGCAGGGTGTGGTCAAAAAGGTCAAGGTGCACCGGAAGCTCTGCTTGTTTTTTATGTGCCACATACACACACACACACACACACACGTATATGCAACACACCTAAAAACTTGACTGAGCTTCAGTTGCACTGTTGCAGCTGCCATCTTGACCTTTTTGACCACACCCTGCAGACAGCCCTGACCAGCCCTTTTCCCCAGCAAAAGCAACGTTTATATTTTAATTACTCTTTTTTCAGAGGGGCGCACTGTTCTTTGCGGGGCCTGTTTGAATGAAGGGCCCAAGCAGCACCCGAGCACGACAACTCATGTCCGAGGTCTTGAGCCGTGGCGGATCCGTCCCTTTCTCTCCCTTCCAGCTGGACAGCCCAGTTGCTCCCCCTCGCCTTCGCCTCCTCCTCCTCCCTGGGCTCCGGCCCACGCAAGGCCGCCTCTCGCCCCACTTTAGGGGCTGCCCCTTCCATTTCGGGGGGCAGCAATTGCTCAACAGAACGTCCCCCAAACAGGCGGAGGAAATACCGATCATAAAAGCACCAGGAGGGCAGGCTGGGGAGGGCCCCGTGCAAAGGGCGAGTGGTGTAGTTGTCACAGGGCCAAAATAAAGAGCTCGTGCAGATCCAGAGCGAGCCGCTACAATTATTTCGCAGGAGCCAAAACATCTCCCATCATTTCCAGCCAGCCCTCAGGGTGGAGAGGAGGTGATTTTAGGGTGAGATTTGGGGTGCAGCTAACTGGCCATGGATGGTCTCAAAGAAAAGGACGCGCCCACAATGTCCCCAAGATGCTCGCTTGGCTCGAAGGGTAGTTTATCTTCAGACTGTGTAACGCTTGCTCGGCTTCCTTTCCCTTTGAAATGTTGGGAAGAACCCATCTTTCAAACACGGCACGTTGCTTTTATCAGGAACCACCCCAAGGAAAACAAGCTACCTAAAGAAACCAGGGCTTCGTAATTGTCCTTCATGACCTCCTTGTAGAGGCTCTTCTGCCAGTCGGTTAGTGCTTCCCACTCCTCGGCAGAGAAGTAGATCGCCACTTCCTCAAACGCCACCGGATCCTGCAAAAGAGACCCAGACACTTTAAGGCTGGCCCAGTTCTCCTTCTCGAGCCCTTGGGGGTGGTAGCCCACGTGGTGCCCTGTCAAGCAAATAACAGCATTGGGACATCATTATTTTCTTTTTCTATTTCATTTCCCCGATTTGCATAACTGATACTACGATTTAGAACAAAGATTTGGAAGGATGCAGAATGCACTCATTGTGGAGATAAGTGCCTCGAAAAGCAATGCAAACTTTACTCAGCCGCCATCTGAAGCTTGCTTTTTTTTAATTTCTCCATGCTTTTTTGCGACTTTGAAAAAAAGAAAGCTGCTGTTTTTGCAGGGCTGAACTTCGCTCTGCATTACCAGATGCTCTCTACTTTCAGCACAATGGCTGATGCTGGTGCTCAAACCAGCTTTGGACTACCAAGAACTGAATGATTGCCCCTGGGAATTGAAGATAGGAAACAACATTTACAGGCAGTCCTCATTTAGCAACCACAATTGGGACTGGCAACTCGGTTACTAAGCGAAGCGGTCACTAAGTGAAAAATGTAACCACAATGGTGCTTATGATCTTACTTCAGCTTTCCTTTGCTTTACAGACCTGTGAAGGTCGTCGATGCAAGGATTGGTTGCAAAGTTACTTTTTCATCACCATCCTAACTTTGGACGGTCGCTGTCCGAGGCAGTCGCTAAACAAGGACTACCTGTATAATGGTGGGATGGGAAACAAGAACCAGATTTCCTCCATGTAGTTTAGCTTTGGGTTAAAATACTGAAATCAGAAGTTAAACTTAAATTTTAACTTCACGAGCACATGCAGCTAGATTAGGGTGAGAATGGCTGGAGGCTTCGGTGACATCACAAGCAGGAAGAGAGAATGATACGTACCCTCTTCCTTTCTGCTCCCAAGCAGCTGATGTTTAAGCCATCTTGCCTGTAATTCTGAGAGCAGCCCTCAAGAGCCCTTTAAAATCCCCCTTTTAATGCCATCTAATTAACGGGCACCACCACCTCCGGTGGCAGAGAATTCCGCTGCTGAATTCCGCATTGCATCAAGAACGCCTCTTTTCATCGCTCTCGGATCTCCCTGCACTGACTTTCAGCAGATGATTCTGACATTGAACACAGTGAGTAGGCGAGGAAAGTGTTCCTCTCACCTTATTTTCTACATCAAGTGTGATTTAAAGTCTCCTTCTTGTGTCTCCTTTTATCTTCTTCACCCCAAGCTCGGAAGCCCTCTGCATTGGCAGTTTTCTTTGTTGGGGAGCAGTTGTTGGGCTCGCCTTCCCCCCTTTTTCCAGCCTGCTCCCCATCTGGATTCCACGGTAGGCCATGCACACAACCAAAGCAAGAGGAGAGATGCTCCGCAGGCTGAAAGTTTCGGCAGAAGCTGGTTTGGCAGAGGACAGACTTACCTGCAGGGCGGTGGCTCCGGCCATCTCTCAGGTGCGGAGTCGCCAGTCTCCCTGCAATCCGGATACCTCGCTCTTGCAAGGGGGAGGGGGCAGGATCAATGACAGCCGATTAACGCAGGATGATTTCTTCTTAAGCAGCACGTAGGCAGCGCTCGGGTGGTGCAGGCGCGCTCAGAAACAGAGTTGCCCAGGACGGCTGCAAATCCATGATCTGCCGTGGGGGGAGAGGGGAGGAGAATAAGAGATGGGAGGAAAAGAGACAAATACGTATTTAAAATCATGCAGTCCAGGTTTCAGAACCAGAAGGAGCGGGTGGGTTTGCATAAACTTTGTGCACCAAGTTTGTGCAAATCAAACCTGTGATGGGCGGCAGGTGCCAGTGCTCATTTGCACAAATGGAAGTGGCAGAGGCGAAAAGCTTTTGGCAGGAGGCGGCAGAGAGCTGATCCTGGGCATCCGCTTCCAGGACACACCCACAGTGGAGGGGCCTGTTCCTCAGTTTCCAGTCCTGCTCACCTGAACCGGCAGATCCTTCCCCCTGCTTTCCACTGGGGGTCCACGTGCCCCCGCAGGTATGCCAAGCCATTCAGACATTCTGCCCCCAAAGGTGTCACCATTAGAGGGGCAGGGGAGGAATGGGAGAGGCCCAGGTTCCAGGCTACCATGCCTGAACTGAATTATTATGGCCTGGGTCAAAACAGAGGACCGGGTCTATGTCCCCCCTCGGGAGGAAAGGCAGGGCATCAAACTAAAGGTTAAAAAGCATCTGCAGATAAGGGACCAGCTGCATGTACGGATTCTGGCCCGGCCAGCACTGCCGACAGACCTGGGCATTTTTCGATGGCGCTGGGCCAGGCGAGGCGGCAGAACTTGGCACAGCTGGCAGCTGCTGGGCCTCAGCATCCTAGCAGGAGCCCTCCCGGCCAAAGCCAGGCTCAGTGCCCGGACTCTATGGCTCCTGCTGGCTGCCCCCCAATTCCCAGGGCGACAGGACGGTGGAGGGCGATGGCCGAAGGCGGCTGCGAAGGGCTGTGGATAGAGTCAGCTGACGTGAAATCCCAGGGCCGTTCGTCAAGGCACAAGGGGTGAAGATGCCTCTGGGCACAAGCAGACAGCTTCTGCCTTGCTCCTGGGTAAACGTGGTGGGGAGAGACACTTCTGAGATTCAGGAGGGATAAAGGGAGAGCTTATATTTTTCTTTCATTTTCCTTCAAAGCCGCAATCCCTTTCGCATGTAGGAAAACTCGTGCAGGCACGTGAGCAAGCCACTGCTTTCCTATGACATGATTTCAGTGCAACTGTAGTTGTTAGTCATTAGGTCAACTTCACTTTGTTACTAAATTAGCCCATTATCTGGGCTTGTACAACGCACCAAACTGTGGACTGATCAAATGGACAGCGTTCATGCAACATACTAAGCCACAAAAGACTACAGACACATTAACCAGGGTTTCAATGCTTTTAAATATCTCACTGGCCTGGTTGAAAGGACTGTGAGACCCCAACCTGATCTGCCTGTCTTCCTTCCTTCCTTCCTTCCTTCCTTCCTTCCTTCCTTCCTTCCTTCCTTCCTTCCTTCCTTCCTTCC